CACGACAGGCACATAACCAAGGCACCCGGGTTAGCCACGCCATCTCTGACGGGGTCTCTCTACAAAACCAGTGACGACGTCATCACATAGAACCAACACCGAAAATCAGGAAAAAAACGAGAAAAATTGACAACACAGATCAGATATAAATGTTTGTCCGTGCGCCACGGGTCGATGTCGCCCGCATGCTCCGGTGCCGCTGCTCCGTCCGGCGCCGCTGTAGTCAGCCCGAGCATAACGCCACTCGACCTGCTCCGTCCGTACACGCTCTCGTTGCTGTCCTTCCCAGTCGGTTCCTCGCTTTCTCCCTCGTTGCACTCAAGGTTCTTGGTCTGAAAAATAAAAATTCTCGCGCCGAAGGGGTCAACCAGCCCAGTTCAGCTCGTCGCCACCTGCTCCCTCCTCCTTTGATGGCGAAGCCAGGTTACTGAGGCAATGCAGCGCCCTCTAGCCAACCTAGGGCCGTGTACATAGTTCCCGTCCACCTTCTGACGGTGTCTGCCTCCGCGCACAAAAAATGAGATGGGCATCGCTGCCTACGCCGACGGCCAGAGGCCCGCGCATCTACATTTTTTCGCCTGACCCCATCAGTGCCGACCCAACTACACCACCACGCGCATGCCTCGCGGCGGATATGCGCAGCAGCAAGAAGGTTTCGGTCATCCCTTGACGGTGGATCTAGCCCTGCTCGCCAGAAAGACCCCCCCCTTCACTACAACCCATGTCTAAGCAAAAGCTTGTCGAGGAGCGAGGGGAAGAAGGGAGAACTTGTATGACGGAGAATAAGAAGGTGGATTACTTGAAATTAGTATAGAAATAAAGTTTGTGTATCTAAATCGAAAATAAAACGGCTGATGGAGGACAGGCCTACAACTGCAGGAACAGTCACAGCGCCGAAAACGGCGGCGTTCAAACCGTCTTGTCGAGAGCTTTTTGAAAATGTATCGTTTTGTTCATGCATTCTCTTCGTCGTGGAGTAATCGAGCTTCGATAATCGGTCGGGGTTGGTAATATTGGGTCTTGAAACGCTTTCAAACGTTCGAAATCAACCAATAATGATGAATGTGGCCTTCAATACCCCCACCAGGGAGGTAATTTTCTCTCAAAATGGCGCCTGCAGCTCAGTCAGGTCTACGGCTCCAGCCCTACCTCGTCACTGGTGACCATTTTTTATATTTTCTTTTACTAGGTAGGCGGCGGGTGATCTTACCTATCGCTCGATACCACAATATCATCGAAATTGGATTTCCTGCTCAATCAAGAACGAGCTCCTAGCACAGGGGGTGGCTTTGGTGGCCTTTCTACCCGCCCCTGCTCTTTTTTTTTTTCATGTCCCACTCTATGATTGTTTCCCAGCCCGGCGCCCGCACTCTCCGAGCAAGCGCAGAGAGGACCTGGTCCTGGAAGAAGAGATCAAACAGCAGCTGTGAGTATGTATCCGAAGCTATGTGGGAACAATGAACTTCATTGTTCCAAAACATCGGCCTTCATAAGAAATCTAGCGGTGGTTCGGCGAAGGCTAGGCTTCCTGTTGTTGGGTTGATTACCCTGATACCTGGTACTCTAGATATCGTGATATCGTGTAGGCTCTTGTGGCCGCATAGACTACGTACGACTCAAGTCGAGACCCCAACATCATATTCAACGCACGAGAGACACAGGCACGTTCTACTTGCTGACAGGTGATCGCTGTCGCTTCCCCGCTCCCGTAGAGCCAGCCACAGCCAGATCTGGTGTGGTCAAGCGTGCAGCAGCAGCAACTCCTCCTGCTATTGGGGTGCGGGAGAGAACAAAACACGCGGTGAACGACCAGAGAAGCAGCATGGGATCTGACTCATCCGCAAAGGCCGCCGCTGGCGTCACCAAAGCCCCTGGCTGGAGGTGTAAGATCGCCTACGGCATCAACCTGCACAAGCTTCTCTGCGCCCCCATCACCTACTTGTTCATGCTCAAGTACTCCCGGTTCAGGTACTGCTGTAGACTATATAGTCTAAGTTTATATATCAAACAACAGCAGTCTACATAATCGACTTCGCAAGTCGCGAGGGAAGGGATTGCTGGACCCTTCTCGCGATAAAAATACGTCAGGCAGGAGCCGCAGGAGGGGGTCCAGCCCCCCCCTCCTATGTGACCCCAGTTGGATCGTCTAGCTAGTAGAAGTTGAGGATAGGGGCCAGAGGGGCAGACGACAGAATCCGACGATGGTAGAACAATATTTATATGTTTAGACTATATACATAAATACTCCGCGTGCTTGTGTTGATTGATCTCTTGCGGACGGACGCACATGTGGGGAATATTCACAGCGAGACGGGGTAGCTAAAGGCAACAACCAGGAGACATTGCACCATGCGTACGCACACGGTCGCGGTTGAAGCGATTTCTGGGTACACCTTGAAATGCGGCTTAGGAAGTCAGAGCTCCTCGGATGCGGTTGAAGTAAAAAATCTTTTCGCCAATCTCTGCGCGCAACTACGTAGGAAGTCTGCGCGACAGAGATTTTACCTTGACCGCTTTACTACCTCAGCTGTACGCGTGTACAAGCACCGCGTGCCTACAACATATCTTGTTTACATTGACCAGAAGTACGAACTCGTCTTTCGAGCAGCAGAGCACAAAAAAGAGTACTATCCCGACGCAGCGGGCTTCGGGACGTTGCCGAAAAATGTGCATTTTTCCGAACAAACCACCAATAAAAATCCCCCACCCCCAAGCTCGCACCCCAGGGCACTTCGAAGATGTCGTTGTAGGTTGAATTGTAGAAAGGTGTCCCCCAACGCTACGAATTCATTGCTACTCTATCCAGGGTTGTTTGATGTGGGTAGTAGAAAGATTACCGATTCTGTCTGCGAATCAGGTCCGATATGAACGTTAAGAATCTTTAAAATGATTTCAGGTTCTTCATGTAGCGTACACATCAGAGATGTGCCACTCAACCAACAACCCGTTGACAAGAGCCCTAGCGGGATGCGTAGGAGTCCTTGTGTTGACGGTTGGCTGACGCCCGCCGGAGGAGAAGGTAGGGGTATGGGTGTCTACCTTCCTGTGCCTCCGCGGTTGAAACACAAGAGCATTGTGTAAAACTAACGACATCTGTTTCCTGGAGAAGAAATATCTGGGCCTAATCAGGGATGTCATCACCGTATCATCTATCGACCTCGTGCTTGCTGGAGATACAGTAGTAGGCCATTTTTCAAACAGTGACCGACGAATTCCCAAAACAAACGTTGAGTCATATGCGCAGTCTATATTATTGATGTTTGAATTTCATACATGGGTAAGACCCAAGCGTTGCGGGGTCCTGTTTGTACGGACTCTTCATGCGCACCAAGGTTGACACCAAACAATGACGCGCTTGACGTTCCGCATGCATGCTCCCGATGTTACGTGTTTCCGCACACTTTACGTGGGGCAGTGCGGCGGCATGGACCTACCTAGCGCTTCATGGGTCTTACGGATATCTTTGGATCGTGAAGGTGCGAAAATATCTGCAGTAAAACCGTTGCCCTCGTTGGATTTCGTCTCAACGCTAAAAAACCCTGGTCTCAAGCAACACTACAGTGCCCCCAAGCTGACGCTCTCTGCACGTCATCCCAAGAATATTACTGGGGATACGACCCTCGACATCTTGTTCATGTTCCGCATACATGCGTGAGACGCGTCTTGGCTCACACGAATATGAGTAGGTCTGGCAAGTCGCTGCTGCACCGTGGAGTTAAGTCACGGCGATGGCCACTCCAGCACGATACCCAGAGCCTTGATCTTTTCTCAGAGTACTCGGTTCGTCGTACCTAACTGACACGAGTTAAGTGTGAAGACAACAACAACAACTCGGTTCGTCGAACGGGCAACCGCGATCAACGCCCTCGGTTGTGTGACTCAGGGAAAGAGAGACGAAATTGGGGTACTCTACTGATAATTTTTTACCCTCTGGATTCGATTCCAACACCACATTGCCCGCGAACAAGGGGAAGGGTTCTAGCTCAGGGCGGCGCAGGTCTCTGCTTGTTGTGTTCAAACTGGCTGCAAGCACTCGCGACCTGGTGAAGTTGCCTTCGCACGTTGGCCGTTGGAATTTTCTGGAACATAAACAACATGGATGGGTGTTGGTCTTCTCAATGCCGCCGTCACGCTTGCCTCTTGTGCCATTGTGGTGTTGTTTCTGTTGCTGTCTTCACCGTACCAAAACCGCTACTGCCTTCGCTCAGTACCTTAGTGTATCCGTTTCGTTCCAACTGCCGTGTGGAATGTACGATAAATTCAGGACCAGACGTTTCCGGACCGGAACTTCCACGTCCCTAGCTCGTTCGGAGAAATGTCTGCAGCCTTCGTCGTAGTCAGCGCTCTGTACTGGCCAATCCCGTGGATAATGATGCACCACGGGAAGGACGTCCCTCCGTGGTGCCAAGCCCTCGCCATCGGAGTCTTCTCCACCGGTTAGCCCTTGGTGCTCAAAGTTTTAGCGTGGTTTGTGTATAAGTAGATCGAGATGCGTTGCTGTGTCGGTGGAGGGCTTTTTGACGACCCTGCCGTGCCCGATCGACCATACCCCCCCCCCCCCCCCCCCCCCCCCCCCCCCCCCCCNCCCCCCCCCCCCCCCCCCCCAGTGGACTGATAGGAAAAACGTTTCAGAGGCACCTTTGGCAAAGTAGGAACGATCGATTCGGCCATCGGTGGTCGGTCCTGTTGGAGCAGTGCTCAGTCCTCGGAAGGACGGGTGTTCAATGGTCTAATCGCAAAGGCATGTACAACATGAGTACCCTTCCTTGCTGACACAATTGTTTGGAATTCACCGAAAATATAGGAGTAGCATGGATTTTCCCACCCAGAGCGCTGCGTTGATTATGTAGGACATGCTCCCCCCGGAAGGGATGTTTTGCCGGCCTTTCTTTGCGTGACACACCATCCGGTCAATCGTGTTTGACTGTCCCCCTTTCCTCTATCATGAGAACACTCTTGGAATCCGTCGAAGTATCAAGCCATCCGGATTGTGAAAAAAAATCATGTAAGAGCATGCCATCTGGTTCGATCCTGCTGTTTAACCGTCCCCCATACGTTCTTGCGTTTGTTCCCGCTGTGTACGACATTAATAATCAGGCATGTTCTTGATGGTGGGGGCAGACTGCCAGAAGTACTACACTCTCAAGCTCGCGCCGGGGAAGCTGATCACGACCGGCTTCTTCAAGTATATCCGCAGCCCCAACTACCTGGGTGAGAAAAAGGCATCTCGATCCATTGAACCAAATGCTTTGATCATTTCGGTTGACGCCCGCATCCAACACGCGTCACTCTGGCGTTTTTAACCTCTCCCTTTCTTCTGCAGGCGCGGGAAGCTGAGTTGCGAAGAACCCTTCCCTTGCGATGCTCGCACCTAAAGAATATCGTTCTTTTTTTTCGGTAGCCAGTTTGCCGCTGGGTCGGCCCAAGTTTCCCGCCCTTTGGGAAACGGTCTTGCGGCAGCGCCGCCGAAAATTAAACCACACCCGAATCGTGTTGGGTGGCGACCCTCCAGTGGATCGTTCGGTAGTGACGGCACGACAACAAAATGTATGTCGCTGCACTCACACGTAAAGCTAAAAAAACGTTTCGTCAGTGCTCACGTCAGCCAGCTTCGACCGTTTACTCTTTCGTGGCGGGTGCAGTACTGCTGTCGGGTCTGGGTGTAAAACCTGCTTGTTTGCGATGCTTGGGTTAACGTTTGCAGAGTTTCGTGTTTACCTACGCTCCAGGTCTTCACTTTCACGTATCAGACGTAAAAAATCAGGCGAGCTAGTCGTCAAAAAATCTTAGCACACGACCGCCGTTGGTTGGATAGGATATCACACCCCCTAGACCTATGTTGAAACCTCTACTCCAAGAGTAAGAGGATGCCAGAGCCAAATTATCATTTCCGGAATGCTTCCGACCAGACCGTTCCGACGCCACCGTCGTCGAAGCAGTTGCAATTCATTTTTTTTTGTCGCTCCGTGGCGCGTGCTTTGTTCTGCAACCTATTACGATGCAACCCTGGAGATGGAATCATGCATTTCCGCTGACGATCAAACACAATCGCACCCTCACCCCCGACATTTGAGCTCACTCGCGCAACTCTTCACTCGTACCCCCCCCCTCTTGCACAAAGGTGAGCTCATGGTGTATGGAGCATTGTCGATGCTAACGTACACCGCCTGGGGGTGGATCCCCTTCGTCACCTTGGCATTGAGGTTCTCGGCGGACGCCCGAAAGAAGGACAGGTAAGCAAGTGAATGGACACTTGTTTTGCTGCGGAGGGATTGAAAAGGCGAAGTTTCATCACAGTATACCCAAGCTGGTATGTGGACATCGCTTCATACCCCGCATCGATTAGAGAGGGGGCTATTTTCCGAGACAAGTCGAATCTTGCCCAGCAGCAACGCTTGGTTTCAAGCATTTCGTGCCCGATGAACACGTCGAGGTTTTGGTGTCTTGTCCCCGAAACAAAACGGCCCCGAGATGCTGCGAACTCGTAGTGCAGAGCGCGCTGGCCTCTTGGGAACTGCCACCTCTGTCTTGTGGTTCTTCTGTCTCGTTGTTTTTTGTTCTACTAAAAGAATTGCGTAAACGAAGAAACATCGGCTGCTCAGTTCCGAGACCAGCGCACACATCATGGGGGAGACGTGCCAAGCCACAGCCCTCGAGTTCAGTGCGTTTGACTGCTATGTAACCGTTCCATACGCGCAGTGCCACAACAGATGGCGCTGTGATAATGCTCAAGGGACTGTCAGTTTATGACCTTGAGGGTGCAGGAGAAATGTAACCACGTGAACCTCACCCCCAACCGACGTCTGTGCAGTCCCTGTTCGTTCCCCACGGAAGAAAAAGCAAAACGACGACCTTGAAATATATCAGATAAACTTTGCGTGTAGACGGTGTTTGTAGGTCCATGCTTATGGCCTCATAGAAATAGATGATATACAACCGCTAGGATATGTACGCGTCGGTTCGACACAACTTTCGATCACCCTGACACGTGTGCTCTGTCTTTTCCCCTCTTGACTGGTAATATGCCACTGACTGAGTCTACCCTCCTACCCCTGTACTGCTGGTTTCGATCTCAACGATGTTTTTTTCGTTTGGGTTTTGCATGGGGCTTTTCCGTCATGTCTTTGGCTGCTTCCCCGACAGATCGATGAGCCGCTACGAGGAATTCGCTGAGTGGAAGGCCTCTTCTTATTTGATCCTGCCCCCCGTCTATTGAAACCGGGCGCCGGTCATTCCTTAGCGTCCGGCAGAGAATAGCAAGCCTGGTGGGGATGCATGTTCGGACATATAAATGTATGACAAGGGGGTCCGGCCTCTCGTGGGGAGAGCGGGGGGGTAGGCGGGATTCCAAACGTGATATCTACGGAGCCTCGCTCTGAGGCACATTTTGATGCCCGTAGATAAAAACGTTGCCCGGGTTGAACTGCTGGTGTATCGGCTTGATGGTGTGTATGCGGCGTTAAATAATTATACTTCAAATATGTCGGCGCTGTGACCTAATCATTGGCGCTGTTTCGTCGTTGCGGGATGTGCTGTAATGCAATTGTCGGGTGGCTGTGATATGTTGAGGCTTAGTCTATAAAGTAAACCTTCGCGTGTTTTTTGTCGGACAAAGGTTTTGCTGGGCGCAGCTTTTTGCGGTGCTGCACCAGTACAAATCAGTTACTCAATCGCACATTACGGTGTTTTTTTTGCGTGGATGTGGGATGCTTGAGTAAAGAGGACCACGGCCACACAACAAAAAGACCAAGCTACACTTCCCTTCCACTCCCAGACAGCCTTAAGTCTTCACGGGAGTATGGTTGTTTGTATGCACATCGTGCTATTAAACAACGCCATACAGGACCGCGCACCCGATACAGCACTGCTCGACGACAGGACGATACTGCTGTGCACAGACACTGCCATGTAGAAATGTGTCGTGTCGAGGTGCCCTGTACCCAGGGTCGTGTCTGCAG